AAAAAAACTTTTTCTTGATACTTAAGGACATACCTAAGTAAGCTTCAAAAACCAAGGATGAGCAAACAACCGATGGAATTGTTAGGAACTGGTGCTTTGGTACTGGTTTCAAATTTTTGGAATCGGAATTGTATTAATAATTATATATATTATTTTTTTAATTATATAATTACTAATATATATGCCTATTGATGCTTGTTTGTCTGTAAATTTTTCAAAATACACCAATTATATGTTGTAGTAATCCTATTAGAAGAATAGTCATGTAATACCTCCCAATCAAAAATCAAAATTGTAATACAGAGCGATATATATAATAAATGTATGTTCTCATGTACTATATTATATATCAAAATACACTATGAATGGGTTTAGAGTCATTAAATGGTATTGACATAAATATGACCCAAGGAATTGTTAAAAAATAAAAAAGGGAACTGAAACCGGAACAGGAACCAGAATCTTGGAATCAGTTCGGTTCCGGTTCCATGTCCCAATGGTTCTGGTTTCGATTCCAATTTCTAAGAATCGTTGGTAACAGTTCCGATTCTGATTCTGTCAGAAACCGCACCGAATTGGACTGTGTGCATTCATGTGAAAAACTTTGAAACTTGGCAAATATGGTCTTATGCATAGAAAGAAATCTTCTATAATCTTGATCTCAATATGTATAAGATATAGCTTCATGAAAAACATTTCTTTCTTAATTTTTGTAAAACATATTTAGGCCTTAGGTTTTACCATGCAAGTATAAGCATATAATCAGGAATAGGATATATATATATATATATATATATGCATGTAATATTAGTTCACACTCAAAAGAAGATTACATCTTTTATTTTTGAAACTATTCTTAGACTGTTTTGCCCTTTTAATAGATGTTGGGCCTTTTTGTCTTTCTAATGAAACATTCTTCTGCCAGCTTTGTGTCACACTTATCTCATCTAACTAATTTTTTATTTATTTTTTTAATTCACTCATGAAGCATATATATATATATATATATATAAACATTCAATTACATTTTGTGAGTTTTGTTCTACAAAATTTGTGAATCATATTACTAAAATTTTAAAAATCCTTAACATTCTCTTTATGATCAATTCATAGATTTATAACTTTGAGAAACCCATGCATCAATTCCACTATAACCGTCAAAAAAAAAAAAATTGAAACTAAAAATTACGTAGTATTTGAGGATTGTGTATATGATGTGGAACTGTCATAAACAGACTCATCTAGAAAGGACAGCCACACATGGCTTTAAATGAAATTGAAAAAGACTTATCTAAACTCAACAAAAACATGAAGACGATTGCAATTAGCCAAGCTTTGGCAGAACGACTCAATTAGGATTTTGGAGATTTTAGTAATAGAAGAATGGTATAAAGAGTAAAAAAGGAAACATTATAATCGTGGTGGCCGCTCCATCATTTTTAATTCCGTACAATTGCTTCTTTGAGTTTTTAAAATTTTAGAAATCGCAAGACAAAACTCATAGAACATCATTTTACTATTTTCCAAAAAGGCCCCATTTTGTAGCTTGGTTTTTTTTTTTTAAAAATGTTTTTCTAAAAATAGGTGCCAAGCAGATTTTTAGCTGTTTTCAAAAAAATAAAATAAAAAATTCACACTGTTGTATGAGATGCAAACCAAGCAAAGCCCCATCTTAGTACGCTGCTGAATGATCTTTCTATTTTTCTTCGCGATCATCCACATATACCATGACAATTCAAGTATCATTTCTCTAGCATTGAAACCAGTTTATGGTGCATGAAGCAAAACATGTGCCTAGTTCACATCTCTCTTGTGAGATATTAATTTTGTAATTGGCAAACTTCTGCGTCAAAATCTGTCCGATCTTATTGTAATTTTTATTTAATTTTATGAATTTTGATGACAGAAGCGAAATAACACGTGCAACCAATATGCGTTCAATTTTTATTCGATTGAGAGCATCACGTTAGAAAAAGTATGTCAGTGAGAAAAATGTAATAATTTTTTCGATGGGAGAGTTTTGGTGTTAGGCACTTGGCAAACTTGAATACTAGTTGCACACATGTATTTCAAAATACGCTTCTGAAGATTTTAATTAGAGACTGCTGTGTAAATTATGCGCATTCACAAGAATGGAGGTCACCCAATTGAGTACATAGCCTTAACAACACAACTGAAATTTCTCTCCCTCTCTTTCTTTGCCTCAAGATTTCATTAACACAAGTATCAGCAGCCAAAAACTCAGAAATGGAAAGATCAGTTTTCCAATGACGACAACTAGGAATATTATCTTAGCTAGGTTCTCTACCATTATTAATTTCAGTTATCTATGTATTCTATGTTAATTAAAATGGTATCTGAAACACCATTTAAAAAAATAAAAAATGGTCTCTGAAACCTGAAATCTTTGTTGAGCAGTTTTCTTTGACATGCCAGAAGCTTAAGAAAGCAAGAAAGAACAATCCTGAATATTTTACTTGTCCAAGGCAGAGTCTGTAAGCCATCTTTTCGATCTTCCAATACCGGCAAGTATTCTTCTTCCATTTCGAACTATACTTTCAACATTCTGCAGGTTTCTATATTTTGCCCAACAGTCGGTCTAAACTGTTTAATATCAAACATGATTAAAATCCATTTGAAGAAATTCATAGGCTGTGTTCGGCTGCATGGAATTGGAATTCCAGGGCTCCAATTCCATGCAGCGAAACGTAGCCTAAATTAATTAGCCAATTTAATCAAAGCTTGAAAAATGTCTGTTTCTACTAGTAAAAGGCTTATGGAGTTTAAAAGTCCTTTCTATATAAACACAACACACTGCTTGTACGAGAATTGGTCCGCGCGAGTTTAGTTAGTTCCGGCATCATGGCTATGGAAGAGGCACCACCATTCTCGCACTAAACATGAATTGAGTACTCTAAAAACTTAAGTGGTCGAATTTGGATTAAAATTTTGCATGCTCTTATACCATTATTTAAAGCCTTAGACGTATCGGGGCATTGTTAGATAGACATTAACTCTATAATATTTATTTTCGGAGCTAGCTCGATCAACAGAATTTTTGTCAATAACCTCAAATGCCTGCAAAAACACTGGCCAAGGAAGCCAGTACACAAGAGCAACGAAAAATACAACTCTCAGTGGGCATCGCCAGCTTCACTTCAGCAAATACCTTTTATCCTTTCTAACTCTTTACTACTACACAGCTCCACAGCTTGCAACCTTCACCCTCAGTTCCTGACTCAATTGAATGGTTACCAAATTTATCCACTGGTTTCTCTCATAAACACACTATGGAGTATTTCAGTTACCCCTCACAGTCTTTTATTTGGCACAAGCTCCTTTGGTTCAAGACAATATCCCTAAGCACTTGGCTTGCAATCAAAGAGAGACTTTTCACCCTTGACACAAAACCAATGCTCACAAACACTACACCAATGCATGCTATTTGTGTCTTTCTGGCTGGGAATCAATTGATCATTAATTCTTCAGCTACGTGCAAAGTTAGTAGTACAGTTTGGGAATTCGTACAGCATGTTGCAGGGTTTTACATTAGACCTGACTGTGGGAGGGACCTTATTCACTGGTGTTCAAGCAACTGGCACAGATCTCACTTCACTTTACACAATAAACTCTTGCTCTCAATCAGCAGCTGTTTACTTCATCTGGCAGGAAAGAAATGCAAGGGCCTTCAGGAACAAGCCCTCAAATGTTCATCACACCATCAACCTCATCAAAAGCTGCATCAGAGCTAAACTTGCTTCTTTGGTACTAAAGACTAGAGTGAAGATGAACCAGAAAAGTTCATTTGAGGACCTTCAAAAAATGTTTTTGGATGGGTACGTGTGCTTTTGCAGGATGTCAAACTTGGCAGCTCACAGATTGAATATTCAAATGGTTATTGCTTGTTCCACGGAAGTTGTACGTTCTAAGCTCCATTATCTATTCACCAGTTTTACTTTTGTTGTCAGTTAGAAAGTTTGGATATGAGGTCCTGTTCTTTGGTATTCATTTGTCCCCGTTGTGGGTGCTTGCTGTTTTGCTTCTTGGTTTTCCCTCTAATGTGAGGGCTCTCTGTACATTCTTCTTCTTCTTCTTCTATAAAGCTTACCTTTTAACTAAAAAAAAACACAAAAAATACAACATACAAGTACACGAAACAAAGACCAAACCAGGACTCAAAAGCCCATGCAAACCATAATATATAGCCGGAATAACCCAAGAGAAATAGTAGCCTCATTCCAGTCCTGGAAATCAATTAATAACGGGAAGAAGATGAGTGGAAAGAGAACGAAGGGATAAACCCAAAGCATAGAAATTATGAGCAATATCTTTGGCATGAGCACAAGAACACCGTACCTAACTCACATGAGGTGATTACAGATGAGGTCAGCAATCAAATTTGATTATCTTAGAAAGATATAGAGCAATGATCTTTGAAAGTTCTTGTATTTCTTTCCATCCATGTGTGTGGTTTTACAACTAGTCAAAGTTAATTTGAAGTTTGAACAATAAAATTTTGCTAGATTCCGACTTCCAATTAGAAGAAGTCCAAATAAAAAAAAAGGATTTCCATAGGAGCAATGTGGAAACCACATTTGAATTGGAAGTGGTCCCATATGAAGAGGAAAAAGGGCATTTGAAGAACAAATGGTTGTGGGATTCCTCAGACGAAACACACAGAATGCAAACGTTTGGTTGGTTAAGGAATGGAAGTTTGAAACCAAACAATTGCTAACGAAACAAGAAAATGCGCATTAGATATCTGATGAGAAATGTATTTGTACAATGTATATTTCACAAATAATGTTTGAATTGAAACAAAGAAAAAATGTTCTCATAGTGATGTATATAGTTGAATTGTTGCAAATATCAAAGGAATTGGCATTTGGAGGTTAAAAAACAAAGGGTTTGCTCATCGTCTCTCGCTCTGATAAACATACTAGAATGACTGTAACATAAATATTTAATCAGGAAGTTGTGCTACCTAGTAGCTAGCTAGCTAGAGAGAAGAAGATAATATTATATTATTGCTCAAAAACAAACATTACATTTCGGAGACAAAATTCTTGAAGCAACTGGGAATTACTTAGACACATGGTCTCACTAGGACAGACTGAAAATAGTACCACACATATATCACCTACAACATGGAAATTAAACCACATGCATCACATACATACATGTATATGTGACGTTGGGGTCAGAAATTTTATGTTATTCCTGCTTTTTTTTCTGGATAAGATTCCATTATTTTATATAATAAAAGCGCATGTGGAGTTGTATAGCTCAACACACAAACACTCCCACAAGATTCACACACACACACACATAGCTAGTAAACTGGAGGTTGAGAGAAGTGATGCTGACCATCTGGTCCTCCGGGTGCAACTCTATCATTCTTTGCATCAAGTGACCTCCGATAATTCTCAAGTTTGGACGGATCATATCCCAACTTACGCAAAAGAAGTTGGCTGCTGCCATTATCGTTCTTCTGCATGGCGGAAACCTCCCAAAGAATGCGTGCCTCCGAGTCTATGAAGACCGCGAACAAAATCACCATCATCATCACCAACATTGCCCTTACCTTTGGAGCAGTTGAACTGGCCATTTATGCGTGCAGGCAGCAGGTTAGTGGAAACTATTGGGTTGGTCAAGAGATACAAAGGATGAGGTAGCTAGTAGTAGTGAAGTAGATTGCATTGTAAAGGTTGAGCTATTTATAGGACAAGAAAGCGAGGCCAGAGTTAGTGGAAAGAACATGTAATTTGTGTGTTTTGTAGTATAAACCTATAAACCGACAAATTATTCCAACGCAGGATTGTGTCGTTTACTTCATTAGTCCATACAAACAAGTTTTCAGTGTTTTGATGCCCCTCCCACATTAACATGTCTTCCACCCTAGTTAGCTAATTTGTACAAACTTTGTCTCTTTCTTTCTCTCTCTCTCTATCTCATATGACGAGGGTTGTCGAGTCATATGTTGTTCTTTATTGTTTTACTCGGATAGAATTTTATTATGATTAATAGGACGTAACGTTCGTGAAGTGCTGACAAGGCAGTTCGATAGAAAGTGTGGAACCTAATAATATTGTACTATCTCTTTCTTCATCTCATATGAAGAGGCTAGGGTTGTCTAGCCGTATGTTGTTATGGCTTAATTTACTTTATTTGAATTTAATTATGATTAATAGGATGTACCGTCGTGAAGAGAGCAATTTGATAAAAACTGTGAAGCCTGATAATACTGTACTCTCTCTACCTTTATCTCATACGAAGAGGGTTATCAAGCCATATGTTAATCTTATTATATATGATTAATATGTTTCATGTAACATCGCAAAGAGAGCTGTTTGATTTAAAATGTGGAGCGAGGTAACGTCGCGAAGAGAGCAGTTTGACAAAAAGTGTGGAGCCTGATAATACTGTACTCTCTCCGTCTTTATCTCATATGAAGAGAGTTGTCTAGTCATATGTTGTTCTTTATTGCTTTACTTTGGTAGAATTTTATTACGATTAGCATGATATAATGTTGTCAAGAGAGCAATATGATAAAAAGTGTGAATTGTACTCCTTACAAGGGGTTCACACTTGTTATAGATATAGCACTAATTCTATAGGAGTTTAATTGGACAGTAGTTTTTATAATTCTGAAATTTCATTTCACTCATTGTCATAATAAAATTTCGACAACTATATGAATGTAACTCTAGTTTTGGGTAATTAAGTAAGTCTGTTTCATTATTTTCTTTTAAATTTTGTTTTTATTAATTTTCACAATATTTAACCCTAGGTTTGAACGATAGTGTTAATGTTAAATCTGTCTGGAGTCCTCTCTCCTCACTTCTACTTTATGGGGATAATGTCCCATTTCCTTTCCTAACATTTTGAAGCACAATAATCATACATTTAAACACCAAAATATACCTCAAAAGTTGAACTGACTTTCTATTACTTTAAAAAGCTTCTTCTTTCCACAAATCACCATGTTTAGATGCTTCTTTCCCTCGTGCGATGTCGGAGTCTCATTCATTTATGGTCCTAAAAGTGTTAGTTTGTTGTGTGGATTCACTTTGATTTTCTTAATCAACTAAATGTTTGTTGCCTACATGTTAGAGGCTGAGAATATTATTTTTTTAAGTGAACAAGATATTATTGAAAATTATAAAGACCTTAATCTTATCTGATCTACGTCAAAAGATATGTAAAGTAACGCTACTGTACAACTGTATTCTAATTTCTCCGCATCTTCTGTGGATTACATGTTGACTTTACCAAACATTTAACAACACAATTACTTCCGGTAATTAATAATTTGACAATAGAAATTTCTTTAAGAAAACCCAAATCTCATTCCAGGTTGGTACATTGATTAATTCCTTAATTTTAGTATATTAGGGACCTATTACTTGGGTTTTTTTGTTTATTTATTTATTTTTGCATCACTAACTTCAAACCGAGTAAGCAATGTTGTGTAGTCCTAAATTTTCTAAAAACTATATGCTTAATTTGTAACTCTGAAAACAGTTCTAAATAATTTAGAGAATAAAATTGTTTTCACATAACTATAAAAGAGTTTTCTAAAAGTATTTTTATAACTGAGTTTTTAAAAATCTACTTTCAAAAAACTGAACCAAATAGAGTTTTTGTACAGTTTTTTATTTTCAATTTTCTGAAAATAGAAAATTATTTTTGGAGTTACAATCCATACAAGCCTTTAAATTGATAAGTTTTGAAAAGATAATACTTACCTAAAACACATCGGAGCCAGTAGAGTGAACCTATTCACTGATGAGTACTAAAGGTAAATTTGTCTGAAATTGATTAAATGGAAAGTAAAATATATCCATAGATCATATTGTGTGTGATGTTCTGCTCGAGCATAATCCTATTGACATTCTATTGTTGGCGGAGCGCGATTATTCATATCCTTCGTAATTTCTTTTTATTCTTGCCAGGGAAAAAAAAATCATAATTGTATTAGTACACACTTTATGGTGTTGTGTGGTGTGCAAAAAATTGTTGTACTAAAGCTAGATTTCAAAATAATGATGTTAATGTGTTGAAATAGAGATTTCACCATGTGAAAGTCTATAATATTCTAAAGTATGGTGTTCTTAGAATTCTCAACTATTGAATGTGATGGTGAAATTCACCTGATTGGTGATCCAATAACTGAGACTGAAAGATTCAGAAGGTGCCATACCCGTTTGTTGAAACACGATTCTGTGGGTTGTAAGTGTAGCACGCAAGAACAAAGGATTATCATCTAAAACCATTTGGTAGTCTTTTACTTTTTCAGTCAAACCACCTACCATTTTCTACTACAATCTTCGTCAAAATCTGAAAGAACACTCTGGTTGGATGGTCGGTTCCTTTGATAGTTGCAAAGGACAATTTACCGAAATATTAATAACCTGAAATTTGTATGTATGAACATATACTTTTTTTTTTTTTTTTTTTTGTTGTTATCCTAGAAGTCAAATTTAATTATATCCTCATACAACCATTTCTATTCGATAATTTTATATATATGACAACCAACCAATCTATGTGTTATACATACATGGGAATGAAAGCTATCTATTATTGCTTTGAAGCTTAATGGGTCACCATTGGGCACCACCAAGAGTCGTTAATAGGTTCTTGGGGATATATGTTGGCAGATAATATATGTGCTAATTGACAAAAGAATCTATCATGCAGTGGCGGCGGTATATTTTATTCATATACACATACCTATATACATATAGATATATATATATATATATATATATATATATAGGACATATAGAATATTGTAAAACTTTGTTGGCATTCTTTTAAATGTAATGGACGTGGCTCCGCGTGTAAGTTAGTGACTGTAGTGTAGATCGAATCCTAGTGAGGCTGACGTGGGATGTGTGGATGGAGATTTCAAGCTTTTGAAATTAAAGTTTAAGCCATACTTGCCTCCAAATCACCAAATTAAGAGAAACCTTCTCTAAATTATTAGTGGGGTACCATAATATTTCGACACATGCCCTTTTTAAAGTTTTAAATGTATAAAGAGATAAAGTTAAAATAAGTCTTAATATCCTCTTTTTAATATTTATCATTGAGAAGCCTATCAACCACTGCATGTGCTAAGTTATGTAAAAACACAACTTTTGGTAGCTTAAATCGGTTCAGTTCCACTTGAACCCGTTCAAGTCATTCTGACCTTTTTAGCAACTTTGTTTCTTAGTCTGTTTTGATTTTTATTTTAAGTAGACTTCTTCAATATTGATTATGCATGAAATTGGCTTGTTTTTCAAGAGTTTTTAGATCTTCAAAAATTCTATATAATTTATCTTTTACCCAAAATTAAAGATGACATTTTGGAACAAAAATTCAGATTGAGAGATATTTTTAAGAAAATCAAACTTGATTTTTCTTATTTTGTGTTGAGAGCACACACATAAATACAAGAATGATTTAGGAGTGTTGTTCTCTATCTCATCGGAACTGGAGCTTAATTAAATATTCAGAAATTTTGAGAAGTAGGATTTATCTACCTTCACATAAAATTCAGATTTGAAGAAGAAGATTTTCTGATCACACTATGAAGGGGTCAAGGCACTTGCGGAGTGTTGTTGATTTACCAGCAATCCTTCTACAGGGTTCAAGGCATAAGTCTGAAGTCGAGAGCTGTTGGACAAAAGATTGCAAAGCCAAGGGCGTTCAGTAAGTTGGTTCTTGGTAGAGTGAAGAGATGCGAGCCTGAGTTAAAGTTCGGTATACTTTATTTCATACATAGTAGATCGTTTATGCTCGAGGAAACGCAAAAATCCTTAAGGTTTTCCAATTGGTTTCCTCGCTAGAATCCTGGTGTCATCTCTCAAACTTTACTTTACTTGCTCTACTTTTCAGTATTTAATTTTGTGGTTGTGGATGTTTGATTAATCATATTTGTTGGTAAATTAATCAATCACAAAAATTAGGCAAGGTTACCTAATCACCTTCTCTAGGTCATTTAGAGAGTTAATCACAACTTAATCAAGTGTTAGCTTCCGCACCGCATTACTAACACTTGGTATCATAGCAGGTTACTTGACATATTGAGTAGATCATATTTGTTGATTTGTTGTGATTTTTGCATCATGTCTGAAAATTCATCTTCTGTTGATGCTTTGTCTTCACCTTTTGCTATTGATATTGTCACAAGCATGCATGTTGATGGGTCTAAGTTCAAAAGGGATTTTGAAAATTTGTTGGAAAAATTAAAACATCCGAAACTTGATAGAGATATTTATAAGTTATAAGTTTCTATCACCAATAAAAATTTGGAAGAACTTGGCCATACAAATTTGAATCTTCTTCAAAAGGTTAATTTTCTGGAAAAGGAACTTGCTTAGGTAAAAATGTTTAATAAATCACTTAAGCTTAAAGTTGATAATTTGAGTAGTGATTTTGTTAAATCTAAACAATCTTTTCAAAACGTTGACACTAACACTTGCAAATTTGATAAGTTGAAAGGAGTGGTTGAGAACACTTGTAGTAACAAATGCTTAGCTTCAACTTCAAAGGATTTGTATTTTAAAAAATCTAAAGAAGTTTTTGTAAAATTTGAAATCAAACCTTCTGTTATCACTAGTCCTCATAAACATATTTAACATGTCATTTTTGTGGAGAAAAAGGTTACATCAAATACAAGTGTTAGAAAAGAAAAATTGAACTTGGGAAGAAAAGGAAAAACCTAGAGAGTTCAAAGTATTAGCTTAATGAGGTGAAGTATGAAAATCGTAAAGCTAAGAAGAAGAGAAGGAATAAA